GGAGCCGCTCCATCCGGGGACGAAGCCGAGAATTCATTAAGTCTAAAGGCCTCTTTTTGATCTCCAAAATCCTATAAGTGAGAATTTAAGAAACTAGTACTTGAAGGAGGGGCCTAAAGGGGAGAAGGAGGAAACCCGTGTACATGGAGTTTCTTTGATCCGGTGCATTTTAATTACCAAGCTGGGCTCTTCCGGGTGGCTCTGCAGGAAGGACCATGGAGAAACAGGCCGATTCATTGTCTGGGACTGCATGGGCATATCTAGAGCATCGTTTACCTGTCGTTTTTTTGGAATGGCCTATATACATCATTCCTGTATGTATGAAATCATGAACATAGATAACGTCCAAAAAGAAACCCAAGGCAGTAAAATGAATTACTGTATATTAACATTTTTGACAAATGAACTCCCTCTGAATAAGAGGTTGCTTAGTGGTAAAGTGGGAAGTGGGGTTTTCCAAAGGGTGAAAGAGGCAAGGGGTAGGGTGTGCAGAACAAGTGGCTATCCCGGCTCTAGCCAGCACGGGCTGTGTGAGCTTGGACAACTTCCTCACCGTTCTCCCCAGCAGCATCATCGCCTACGTAACAGATCTACCACCCACTTCGCTTGACATTCTTGAGAAGCACATGGTAAGATGCATTAAGAAGCTTAGCACCAAGCACACGCAACTACAATTCAGAAACAATACACAGTAAAAGTATCTTCACAGTAAAATCTGCATCTCAAAAACTCCAAGTTTTATTAATTAGATCTAGCATGTGAAATAGTGAGATGGAAATATTATACAGTTTTTCTGAGTCTTACTCATAAGATGGAGATTCCAGTTTATAAATAGTGGCTTTTTCCAAATAAAGAATCCCTTCACTGTCCCTGCATCACGAAGTCCAGAAATAAACTCTCATGTGGTTAAGACTGCTTTGCTTGTTATACATCACGCTCATTACTATTGATGATGTATTATTTTGGTCATAGCCTATATGTACCTTGGATTATAATCTGTCTCCCTATACATACCTTGGATTATAATCTGTCTATTAATGTTTAAACATTTTCTGCATCACTGACTTTTCAAGTTTAAAACCGTATTTTAGGAATAATCCAGTCCAGGGCTCAGCAAACTATAGCCTGCAGGCCAAATCTGGCCCACCACCCATTTTTGTAAATAAAGTTTTATTGGAACACAACCACATCCATCTGTTTGCATGTTGGCTATGGCCGCTTTCTCCCTGCAACAGCAGAAGTGAATAACTGTAACACAGACCACATTGGATTGCAGCACTGCAAATATTTACCATCTGGCCCTTGACAAGTTTTCCAACTCCTTCCCTCAGAAGAGAAACTGAGGCTGGCAACAAAACAACTCATCAAGGTGTCACAGGGGCATCATTCCACTGTCAGGCCCAGCATGTGAGCCTGAAATACCTTCAGCCTCACTCTTCTCCGAGGACAACATCAGAACAGCGACCCAGGGGTGAGGCTGGCCATCCAAGTCAGCAGAGTGTTTACATCAATGATCACACTTCATGACCTCATCTTAAACAAGTAACATGTCTCTAACCTGGGCTTGGGGGGTGAATTTTCTGGGAGGAAGGTGGGAGAACAGCATAAAAGGGTTTACAAGCCTCCAATTTGAGTTATTTAAAGCTCCCAGTGTGTCATTCTGCACCCACTCCACTTACAGTAATGACATATTTAAACTCCCCTAGCTCAGCCCCCTGATAGCAGTCTTAGCCATTGTGACTGTCACCTGAAATAAACAGCCGGAGCAGCTGCTACCTTGGGCAGGATGGGAAGAGGGAGAGCAGAGAGGAATGGCAGCAAGGAAACCTAAAAAGAGCGGCACACCCTGCATGGAGGCTGTGAAAGGATGGAAAGTTCTAGACTTGGAGGAAGAGGAAGTAGGGTGTGAATTCTGGCTCTTGTTACTTACTGCCTTACCTGGGTGAAGCAAATGCTGAAACTTAACCTCCCTGACTCTGACCATCCACCTTTGCCAAGTGGGCTGGATGGTACCAATATCCGCCGTGCAGGTGAAATGAGGAGACGTATGTCCCTGGAAACACTAAAGGACACAATCTCTCCCTGTCCTTTGCATCCTCCCTGCCCTAAATCCATCCTAGGAATCAATCAGCAGTTAGAATGGGGCACGAAGTTCGGATTCCGTTATCAGAAAGCCTGGAGGGGAAGTCTACACCCAGCTCTACCTCTCAGAGGGCCGTGACCTTGAGTCAAAGGCACAATCCCACCAAGGCCCCATTTAACAATCTGCAACATGGGGGATATCACTACCAGCCTCTCAGAGAAAAATTCAATGAGATAATGTTAAGTAAATGGTCTGGCCCAGTATCCAACACTTAGTAAGCACTCACTATAAATAATAAAATTACACCTTACTAATTTGCAGCTGGTTTGAAGAATAGTCCAAAACAACATCACACAGTTAAGAATGTGTGGGTGCACGTGTGTGAACAAACTTCATGCAAGTGTGTGTGTGTGTCTGTGTGTGTGTGTGTGTGTGTGTATTCCGTTTCCTTCAACCAGAACATAAACTACTGAAGGGCAGAGTCAGGTTGTCATTTTACCTGCTACCTCCTTTTACAACTGCTGGATGTCCTCATTGCTCCCAAGACCTGGCACTACTGTCCCCCTACGTTGATCATCCTGGATTCAAATGAGTTAGGCCAGAATCCTGAGAGGTGGCGGGCCCTGCCCAAGGGGACGTAAACGTAACATCAGCCACCAACCAAATGGGAAGTAAGCTATTCTGAAGGCAGATCCAGATAATGCACAGAGCATGTGTATGAAACTAGCTACTGAAACATGAGCAGGGTGCTACGGTTTTGATATGTTCAAAAGCCTCCTTAGTCCTTTAATAAAACACTTGATAAGTCTGCACATCAAAGTCCACCAATGTTACTACAAAATTAACTAGGCAGCTTCAGACCCAGCAAGTGCCATGCCAGGGAAGATGGTTTGTGACTGCTTCCCAGACAAAAGGACAACTGTTCTCAGGGCAGCAATGGTGGCCGCTGTGGGCATGGCCAAAGCTTGCTGTGTGCCTACTAGAAGGCGTACTGGGTCACAATGATAAGTGTTAATGAAAAACAACAGAAGGAGAGACAGAAACAGAGAGAGGAAGGGAGGGAGAAAGAAGGGGGGGTGGTGGGAAGAAACCGAGGGTTGGGGACATGCAGAGATATACTATGTGTTGGCAAGTATAAGCCTGTTTGGAATATTCTAACAGCCCATCTGGGCAGCGTCAACTTCCCTGACACAAATAGGCCCAGGAGATTCCAAGGCAGGTTATGGCTCGAAAAAAGAAATCCCACCTCGTGTTTGCAAACACTACCCCTGGACTTGTTTTAAAAGCAGAAAGACAGCAAAGAGGGCTTACCCTCCAGAGCTTTCCATTATGCAAGCCGGACTTGTCTCATTTAATTATTTCCAATCCCTTTCTCTAGGCAGGGTGGGGCTGGGTCATGGGCAAATCCCCCTCACCGCTTTAAATCAGTCTTGGAGAGAAGAGCCTTGTAACACACATGGTCACAAACACACTTAGCCGTTCTTAAGACCCAGCCAGAATGAATCGGTCCCCAACTGACAATGCCAGGAAGGGCCTGTGGGGGAGGCATCTTTCACAACCGACCTGGAAGGGCAGTTCGGTGCATTCTGAATGCACGGCTGGGTTGGCAGAAGCTGGTTTCTCTTTGCTGCATGGTTTCCCATCCATGCAGAAATTAATGCCAGAGACAAGAAAATCTCCATTTTTGAGGCTAAATAAAGGTCATAGTCCTCATCCCAGACAGTAGTTCACAAACGAACACACCTGCAGACAGGGTCACAGCTGCCCATGGCCCTGGGCAAACGAATAAGCACAGAACCTTCAGCGCGGCCAGTGGGTGGCAGCGCCTCTGTGCCCACGGCAAGCATGACAGCTGTTGCAGGAGGAAACGAGTGACGAGCTCGGCACAGGCGCTGTGTCTTCTCGGGATGCCTGGGTAGCTCTGCTGTGTCAGCCCTTTGGCAAGGAAGACATAAGCCTTTACGGAAGGAGACTGCCCCACACCTGGGCTCCCGGGTCCACAACTACTCAGAGATGCCGGAAGCAGAGGGCCAGCGCCGCCACTCACCCGCCGGCCTCCTCGGACCCGCCGATTCCATGGGAGCCAGAGGAGGGACACCACTCAAAAGCCAACAAGGGCCAGCCCCTCTGGGACAACAGAGCTACCTGAGGAATGTGTCACCCTCAGGAAGACTCTTGAAAGCACTGTCTCCCCCAACCAATTAGAAAGAGGCTGAATTAAATTCACTACTCACAGTTACATGCCTTGTCTATTTATCTCAGTCTCTCTCTCTCTCACACACACACACACACACACACACCCCTTTTCACGCTCCACTTCCTAGCTGATTCGGGGCTCTCGGGTTGGCCCCAGCCTATTCCAGCAGCAGAGCCCAGGGGATGATTTTACTGCTGTCTCACAGACTTTCAAGTCAGAGGACACTGACAGGTACAGGCCCAGCACTTTCCCAAGTCTCCTTGGGCATCTGACAGGGGAGATTCAGCTGCAAAGGGCCCCAGGGAGCCTCATCTCTCAATGCATTTTCCAGAAAGGCACAGAAGGAAGAAGCCCAGTGCCAACCTTCAGGCCTCTAGCAGGTTCCGTGGGAGCTCCTGCCCTGTGAGTCACAGCCCTTCATCTCCCCGAGCTGCCGCCACCGCCAGCGCCAGGCCCAGGCCCCACATGGCCAGCAAATGCCAGCAAAACCGCACTAAAAGGCCACTCTGTCTGCTCCTGCAGGCACGAGGGGCACCGTGACGACCACAAGCCGGACTCTTCCATCTCAGCTCCTGAATTTCACTTAAATCATGACGGCCAAGTTCAAGGACAAGATTCTCAAGGACACAACAGTGGCAGAGGCAAGGGCCACAGCAGCCACTTCTAAGGATTGATCAGCCTATTTCTGGTGGGTGCCATCCAACCCCACGCAGCGCTTACCTTGCCAAACTGCTCGAAATATTGCTTTACATCTTCCACTACCGTGTTCGCAGATAATCCGCCTACAAATATTTTCTTTGTTCTTGTGACCATCTGCAAGAAATAACAAGACAAAGGCATGGGTTAACCAGGTTATCTAAAGCAGTGCTTGAGAAGATGCCAAAACTAACCACTCCCCACATTTCTCTAGGAAGGCAATTTTAGATATATTCAAGCTGCCCGGTGCGGGCCCTTTAGTTGTCTAAGGATGCTGGAGACAGTCACACTGCATATCTTAGGCATTCAGACTGCAACCTAAAATCTCATGTTTCATGCAGACACAGAGTAGACTTCAGAACCTCTTTGGCCACAACACACAGTTTCATTCTGACGTACTAGCATAAAGAGAAAAATCACACGTCAAGCTATTTTAAAGCTAAGAGATGTGAACAAAACAGAACTAAACACATAAAAACTGCTGCCCAGAAAGTATCCACAAAACCTGTCACTAAGAAATGCACGAGTAATTCAAAACTGTATGCAGACTGTCTGTGCTGAGCTGTTTGTTGTAGGTGCTGGTATATGTCTGCAAGCAGCACAGACGCCGACCTCGCAGCCAGGGACCACCCTGCAAGCTCTGACCCAGCACTCCTTCCCTTCTTAATTTCTTGAGAATCACTTTGAGTCACCTTGCACCCCAGTCGAGCCCAGCTAATCACCAGGTCTCCACATCTTCGTTCCTGCAGATCCTCCCTGGAATGCCTCTCCCCTCCTAAATCTTCCCATGGCAAGTCAGAACCATCCTCCAAGATCCAGCTACCTGCTTCAAAATTCAAATTATTTATCTGTCGTTCCAGCCAGGAGCTATTCCTCCCTCTTCTGAACTCCCCTAACACCGCATCCCTACTCCTCTAGGTATCTTCCACAACGCCAAGCACAGTGTCGGGTACAAACAAACCCACACCAAACGTTTGGTGGATGTGAGAATGAACAAATGTGGTCACATTTCAGAATCCCGCCAGGTCCAAAGCAAAGGGAGAAGGAAGCTCAAGGATATAAGAGCAAGAACCAAAAATCTTACATGTAGGAGTGAAAAATTAAGGAAATACATTTCATTTTGGAGACTAAGTTTAGGCTATGTGCTATTTTTGTTTTACTGCTAAAATAAAAAAATTGAAAATTTCAGTGGATGCAGGATCTCACCAGTCTGGTTGCATATAATAAACACACCATGTCATCTATGTCTATCACAACTCAACGTAGGATGCCCAAGTACAGGGGTAGTGGCTGCCTGGATCCCCGTCATCACCACGGCTCCTGGCATATTTGCCGAGTGAATGAATGAAAGATGCCACCCGTGTGCACACAACCGAGCTCCAAGAACCTCTCACGAACTGGTGGCATCTTATGCTTGTTCCTCATGGTCTGTCCCCTTTCTCACCCACTCCTTAAGTCCCCTGGTAAATCAAGGTCACCTGAATGGTGAAACTCCATCAGACCTGCTCCAGATTTCAATCTCTCCCTACATTCATGAATCATCAAATTTTACTAATTTAACTTTCCTAACGTATTCGTTCAACAGATCCATTAAGTGCTAGGTGCTGGAGCTGACTTTCTAATAGAATGTGGAATTTAATCCACTATAAAATGAAGATATAATAATTAGCCGACCACACAAGGTTCCTATTAGGACTAAATTCAATAACATATGCCAAAGTATCTAGCAGGGTACCGTGTAGTCGCTAAATAGATGGTCACTGTAACTAAATCCAGTCAGTCACTAAATTCATCCTTCAAGTTCAGGGTAACCATGCAGCAGAAAGACACGTTATACCAAAAGCTTTGAAAAAGCAACTCTCTCTGTGCCCTTTGCTTCCATTATAAATTCAAAAACACTTTCCTGCATCTCTATGTGATCTCAGATGGGCAAACATTCCCAATAGTTTAATTTCAGATTTTTCATTCCCTTTTTTTTTTTTTTTTTTACCCCAGCCAAGTAATTAAATATCCATAAAGAAACACTAACATGATCTGCAAACATGCACGAGTGGAGTTCTCAACTTAAAGCAACTCTGGAGAACCATTTTATCACGAGTCAGGCAGGTATACAGCAGGTACTATCTTTATTCCAAACCTTCATATGGACCCAGAGAATCAAACAAACAACGTGTCTTCGTTCCAAATAACAGAAGTCAACAGACTGTTCATTCCCCGGTAACTAGTTAAATGAAAAGGTCTCTTCATGCTCCCTCCACCGTTGCCTCATAGCTGTAAACCTGCCTAGACACAGCCCTAAACACCGCGGCAGACACTCAGCTATAAATCTATGCAGTCCCAAAAAAGCCTTTAAAACCCTTTTTTTTTTTTTCTTTAAGAAGGATGAGAAATTCCAGGCCCCAGACAATGCACCAAAGTGTCCGAGTTACTAAAACATCCTCTCCAGGAAGCGGCTCAGATACAGTGATGGATTCCACTCTTCAGCAAACACTAAAAGGAAACTGGTTTAATCAAAACCTTCCAAACGTGAAAGGCCAGTGGGAAGATGGGCAACACTTGGTTAGCTGCTCGCCGATGTCTGGGCTTCGGGAGAGGGGAGCACGGCTGTAGGGGGGCGATGGGGCCGTGCACGGCGACCTCTCCCGCCAGGGGCACTCTGGGGGAATGGGAGTGATTTACTCTGGGAATCCCGCAGCACGACTGCGCAATGGACTGTGGCCCGCTCCGTGATTTGCATTCTGGCCAGGGATGCAGGAGGCAGAGGACCTTAGAGGAGCCACACATTCTTCTCTCGGTTCCCTTCCATCTCCACGGCTACTGAGGAGGGCGGGAAGGGGGTGGGGGTGTTGTGTCTAGTCTCTCATAGGACTAAATGGAGGTTCCCAAATTCCCATCAATACTATGCAAAGTCTGTGTGTACACGTGAGTGAGAGTGTGAGTGTGAGTGTGTGTGTGTGTGTGTGTGTGTGTGTGTGTGTGTGTGTGTTCAGGGTAACTCCAGTCCCATCCTTCCAGTCTTGGCTTCTATTTGCCCCAGGAACCATCCAGTACTCCTCGAACTTTAACCCTCTTCTGACCTTGGACGCAGTGAGCAGGACAAGGAACCCACTGGCCCCCAGTTCTATACTCCTGTGCGTTATAAAGATTCCTCTCTGCCCAGTGAGGAGACCACCGGTGTTTTCTTCCAATGCCACGCCCTTCACGTGGCAGTTTCCTCACCTGAACCACACAAGGCACAGGGAAGGCGGCCAATGCACCCCGCCATGTTCAGATGGCCCCACCCGGCCTCCACAGTGCACTGAGATGGAAAGAGCCACTCATGTGTTCCAGAGAGAGTTCAGTCCAAAATCTATTAGGAAACTGATCTTAAATTTCTTTTGCTTGGAGTTTTTAGTGGAGGGTTTGCAGAAAACACTTCAGTATGTGAGTGCTTTCCATGATTAGAGACACCAGATACCTACCCAACAGCTCTGCGACAGCCCCGCACCACATGGGGATGTCCCCCTCTCCTCCCCCAACAGGGGCCCCTCCTTTCATGGTTTAGGGTGTCACTCTGGGAAGTGGTGTGTGTGTGTGTGTGTGTGTGTGTGTGTGTGTGTGTGTATGCACTCTCACCCGTGTCCTGGGAGGGTAATGGGGAGAGGTCAGACTCTCACAAATCAACGCTGCAAAGTTTTGCATCTAGACCCATAATTTAACTAAACACCACTGCTCTCCACATACCCCTTGGCTCCACAAAGAAAACCCCAGCACCCATTCCAGTTCAGAAAATTGCTGTTTACACGTAAGAACTGGCCAAAGCCATATGCTAACCAAAGCTGCAAAGAACACTCCACCTTCTTGCCTCTAAGCAGAGAGTTGGCTTTTTATTTTAAGTTTAAAATTCACTTTTTTAAAACACATATTTCCGTCAGAAATGGTCAGAGCGGGGCCACTGCTTACATGTTTAAAAATAGGATAAGACAAATGGGGTGCGTGTATGTGTGTGTGTGTGTGTGTGTGTGTGTGTGTGTGTTGAAAGCAGAGCGAAGCGAGGGGAGGTTACAAAAGAGAAACTACTTTTAAAAATGAGATTGAGGGGAAAAGCTCCAAAAGCCCTGGCCCAAAGATATTAGCTATCACACAGGAAAAACAAAACAAAACAAAACAAACACCAAAAAACACAAATATTTCTTAATCCTGACAAACGCATGCAAAGGCATCAAACAGCACTGGAGAGCCTTAAATGGGTATAAGAAAGGCCCAGAGAAATTAAATCAGCCCTTGCTATTATCATGTTCCTTAAAAGAGTTCAGATTCCCCTTGGTGGAAAAATACGAGCCATCTTCACTGCCCAAGAACACAGCTTGTTTACAGATGCCCTCGCGTCTGCGGGAACCCCAAGGTGGAGGGAGAAAGCCCAGGAAAGATGCCAGAAATGCTAGCACTGGAAGGACCTTACAAACCTTCTAGCCCATCATCCCCATTATGCAGATGGGAAAATTAAGTCCCAGTGAGATGACTCGTGTGCTGGTTAAAGGAAAGGCAGGTAGTCAGAAGGACAGCTTTTCTGGGACCAGACAAGGCTCCATTCATTACCCCACACCGTTCAGTGATACTGAAAAACCAAAGTGCTCACCAAATTCAGAAACTGGGATGAAATCGCATGGTCTCTATCCACATGACAGCTCTCCTTCCTCATTCTGCATTTGAGAATTAAACCCAATCTTTGTGTGGCAAAGACACCCCAGCAGGGCTGTCTGAGGTCACGGAACTCCCAAATGCCAAGGCCCCATCCTCCTGGGTGTTTTGTCCAAGAGACTTGCCCTCTAAAATTCTTATGTCTCGTCATACTTTTTCCCATCCTTCCCCCCAATACTAAGACTCTTGCCCCCACCAACACCACCACCATCACCCTCCTGAGCCCCATCCCTGCCACTGCCACCATCACATCTGGATCCATTTTGCACCTGGCATGCAAAATGAGAACACACGTCAGGTATTGGGAACCTTCTCCAGGTGTTTCTGTGATCGCAAGTGGAAAAGAGATTGAGGGAGATTGATCAGAGTCCCCCCAAAATTCATGTCCACCCAGAACTTCAGAATGTGACTTTCTTGGGGGAAATAAAGTCTTTACA